AGTCGCTAGGGAAAGGAAGGAAAAGAACTGGCACTAAATGAAAATTTGTCGTGGTAGTGAGTGAAAAACACTGTGAGCTAAAGGTAGTAGCTAATGTCTGACGCCATTAGCTCGTGTCCAGGGCCGCAGTGAATTGTGGAATTCTACCGTGCTAGTGAGCGAAAGGCAGAAGGTAAAACTTTATGATTATACCTATCTATTTTGCTGAATGTTATGAGAACCTAAATTGAATGTTATGTTAAAACCATGCCCTTGTGTGTTGAAGAGATGAGACAGCTGCGTGGTGTGTGCGCCATTCTGAGCGGACATTACGTATGCTTGTATTAAATCAAGGAGATTGGTGAGCCATACATTTGTTTATGTATAAACATATATGAACATTCACTTGTGATTAATATATGCTGGAAATGTGAATATGTTTTAAGAATGTGGGAAAATTCATAACATTGTTACACTTAGCATTATAAAAATATAGTGTTAAATACTGGAAGCAGAATGTATTGAGATACTACGAATAATTGGTTGATCCTGTTATCACAGGTCAGGGTTTTTTTCGGGGTCTTGGAACATTCTATTCCCTTTGTGAAACGATCATAAATCATTCCTGGAGTTTGATGGCGAGCCTCCCAGCGGATTCTTGAGTGGGAAGACCTGGATGATTTGGTCAGCATACAAGCGTTACTACACTCCCAGTGTAGTCGACAAAGGATTCACTACGCCTTCTGGTGCAGTATCTTTTTCATCATCATACTGGGACTGGACTTAAGTGGACTTCTGGGGTTTTGATTTGACTTTTATTGTTTTTTTGACTGGACTACATTAGCACTGATGAAGCTGTACATGCACTGAAGAAAAAATGCTATCATGGTATTACCAGTATTGTGAACCTTGAATTCTTGTATGGTTGATTGATTTGAGAGGGATTGGGATTTGAATGTTATCCGATTGAATTCCACTTCACATTGGATATCCGATTAGATAGGGTGCACCCTAGGATATCACAGACATAGACAGGAAAAATACCCTAAGCAACCCATTATTCCAGATTTACTGGTTCCTCACGAGGAGGGATTACTTAGGTGGGTTTTGATAGTGGCCTGTGATTAAGAAGAGACTTAACACGGTTAAGCTTGGATTAATTTGGTTTATTTATTTTCCACGTGTTTAGCTATTTTACTTATTTAAATTGTTTTGTGTATGTGCATATGTTCAATTGTAGTAAAACATTGTTCAAGCATATAATTTGTGGAAATTCAATTGAACACCACACATTGCTCCAGCGGCCGAACCTATTCTAGCTATTGGCCCTTAATCAGAGGTTGGCAACTTCTGATCTAATCACTTAGCAAGTGTTACATTTCAAATGCCTTTGACTACTACCACGTCACCCAGTGGGCGCATTGCCTCTTCTTACACCCCATTTTCTCTGCAAGATACCGCTATGATTAAATCCCACAGGAGGTTTCTTCCGTTAAAGGGAGTTTTTCCTCCCCACTGTTGCCAAGTGCTTGCTCAAGGGGGATTTCTTGGGTTTTCCCTATGTAATAATATTGATAACAGTAAGGTCTAGACCTTACTTTATAAAGTGTCCTGAGATGACTTTTGTTGTGATTTGGCGCTATACAAATAAAATTTGATTTGATTTGATTTGAAAGCTGGCACTCTTGACTGGTTTGCCTACTCATTTTCTGTCCAGGGTGGAGATGCTGCCGGCCCAGCAGACCATTTTTGAGGTGAAAAGAACTCTATATTTTCTGTAAGGCACATTAATAACATGAATACCTTTACCATTTAAAGGCAGTCCATTTATCATATTCATAAAACCTGTGCAATAAAAAATTAGACTTCCCATAATTATATTTACACCATTGCACGCATGATACTTGCAGTTACATCATGTAGGTTACAGGTGGCAAACATCCATTACAATACAGTAAGAAGTGATAACATTTTGTTGGTACTAAGAGATGTGCAACGCCAGCTAAAAACTTTTGCACTAACTACCATAGCATTAAATAATTGATGCTGATGCTCTGTGTGTGAGAATAAAAGTTAACAACTGCCTGAGAACAAGCTGAAGAGTTTCTCTTACAGGTGGGAGCCATATAATGAAGGAAACAGCAGTGTGCTGCGGTGAAAACACAGCTGAAGCACCTCAATGAGATAATGAACTCTGGATAGGTGTGGGGCTTTTTGACTAAGAACTACTTGTCATTTCTTGTGTCTAGCCATGCTGAACATCTTTAATCCCCAGCCACCATATCGTAAGTCTGTTGTGTGCACATTAACGTTTCAGCTTCCTTTTTGGAATTCTTTAGTGCATCAGTGAAGAGGGATGGGTATAAACAGCTTGGACTAATCCCAATACCCCAGACAACAAAAAAATAATTAATTGTGCCTAATTTGCTGCTGTCTAAACAGAGATTGGATTTCGCTTAATGCTAAACAGGCCAGTCTAGGAAATAAACACATTCTAATTTAAAATAGTCCCCAAAGTGTTTCTCACTTTTTTCTGTGCTCTCCTCAAGAAATATATGCAAATGGAAGCATTTAGGTTTTATTCCCTGCACTGAGAGGAAATGGTGGAGGGTCCCCAAAAGCGATGCAAATCTTAAGCAAGCCTGTTTCAGTCTTTCTTCAAAGTCCCATCCCTAAGCTACTGCACCCTCCTGAACTTGTTTGGAGGGCAGAGATGTTTCAGCGACTTATCAGCTTTGTCACAGATCAGGCTGGACAAAGCCACCAGGCTTTCTAATATTTCTTTCTGCCTGTGGTCACTAAAATTAGTAATTTGTCAACAAAGCTGTGTGGCTGCTGTATAGTGCAACAGCTGCTGCTGCTGCTTGTCTGAAAGTGGAAGGGTAAAAAAAAGCCAAGCACTCATCACAAAACCAGATCGGTGTGGAGTAAAGACAGACAGATTTCTGACAGAAATAGAACATGGGTATCTGACAGTATCCAGTTTATTATTATCATCTCTAGGTATGTGTGATGTGATTTGATTGCCACTTTAAACTGACCATTTTTCATGATCCTTTGAGATGGAATGTCTCACCAAGAATTACGCGAACATATGCCACTATAAACCATCAGAATGTAAACTGTTAAAGTTGCTATGTACCACACATTTAGGGAATCGCCTCCTATTTTACCACAGGATGTGGCTGGTGATGGTCATATACCTCAGAAAAGCCAAACATAAGGTAGCAAATGGTAGTATGGATTATGCAACTATAACCTTTATTGGTTTTGGCCAACTAATACGAGGCTGCATAAGTGCTAATTTTTCTGACAAGACTTTTTTTAGTAAGTTTGGTGATGAAATAAAAAGGAATATATTTCAGATGATCTGACAGCATTGATTGGTGGCCTGACACCATGACTCCACCTCTGGTCAGGGTGCTAAAGTCATCACAGAAGAAAAGATAGTTGCTTCCATATTTACAATATTTTGGCTTCACTTTTGCATAGTGGCCAGAAGAGGTGACGTGTCATCCATTTTTATATACACTCTATACTTGGGATCCATAGAGTTATTTAGATTTTTTTGACTTTGGACTTTTCAATCATTTGAATTGTACTGATGTGGGAGGTTTTATTAGTTTTTCATGAATATTTTCTCTCCTATGCATTTTGAGCTTGGTGAAGATTTATTTGCTCCCCATGACATTTTAACGTTATGCTAAGAGGATATGGAAACACCTCCATCTAAGTGTGATCCTCTTTGAGCTCTGACGGTACTGGCACCAGTTGACTGGGATTTAAGTGCCTTTTTGTTTGGAAGGACAATATGGCAATAATTTTATTGTTAGATGAGGAAAATGAAAAACTATATTCCTTTCACAAAGCGAAGGGATTTAAAAAGGTTTTAATGATTAAGGGTGATGAAACACCAAGAGGGGAAGGAGTCAAGGGTGGCTGAAGAAAACAACGTTGAGAGAAAATGAAGTTATGTTCCATGGGGATTAAGCTGACAGATAGCAAAGGTAAAGACTGCCTTTTTTTTCAACCTGTCCTTGATATCAGGTTTGATCAGGAATAAGGCAGCATAAGCCAAGTGGAAAAACAAAACGCACTCAAATACCAACCTGCCACTCAAGATTGAAGAGATTTCTATACTCTGTGGGTAGGGGTGTAACATGCAAGGCACTATCATCATCATTAAAATATATGACGTGTTATTGTTGTTTGTAGTACATTCATGTCATAAATGCAAAGACGAAGACATGTTATCCAAGGTTGAGGTAGAGGAAGATGATAGCATGGTACCAGTAGGCAGTTTTTTTTTTCTTTGCTTAAGGGGAAGGGATGAACTGAGAAATGTGACAGTAGCAGTAATTAAGGGAGTTAGTCATGCAAAGGCTGTTAACAGTGCCAAAAGTTAATACTGGTTATGGAATAAAGGGAGCGCAAAGATCAGGAAAGTGGATCAAGGTAGACCTGTGAGAGAGTTTTAGTACCAAGCCTCATGTCACTTTGGATTTTTATTTTTATGAGATAACAAGGTAGGAAGTTGTGGTTGTGTTTAGGATAAAAAGGCTAGCCAAAGATTTAGAGTCTCTCCACTTAACAGACAATATACTTTAGTAAAGCAGAGGATATAAAGGTAAATCGGCATGTTTGGGTGAGTTTTATGGGCTCAGATAGTTCAGACCTGACCTGGAATTAAATATTGACTGACCACTTTGTGCTGTGTCCAAATGGTGGCAGCAATGTAACACTCTCAAAGCAGTTTAACCTGTAATGTAATGGTTCTCTCTTGAACTGTGTCGCCTCTTTTAGAAATGCCTTGGCAGCATCTCTACATTAAATGTTCATAGTGAGTACAGTAAGCGACATCACTATATTACTCACAGAACAAACAATGAATCCATATGGTTGGTAAAGTGCCATTGTTTAGCTGAATGTTTTTTTTTTTCACACTGTGTTTGCCGACTGATAGCTACTATTTAGTTTGAAGTAAAAAATATGAGCTTGTTTTCACAGTACACATATGGTACAAACTGGATGGAATAAATTAAAATACTTAACCTGGTAGAGTGCCAAATTAAACTGCAAGGTCCCTGTTAATCTCTGTTATTCCCAGTATTTACTGTATCTTGATTAATTACATAGACAATTGTGGGTGTGGTGTACATTTTGTAACCATTCTTTAGTATATTACTTGTGTGATGTAAGAATGTTAACACTGTTATATTCTTTTTTTTAGTATAATATGTGTGTGTGTAGAAGTGAATCATTTACTGCTTGCAAACCAATGATGATAAGATGATGTCATGGGGTAGGACTGGATAAGTCTGACTTCTTCCTACTCCATTCAAGCATGTACTAGGTATAAGCAAATTGTTATTGGATTAACATTTGTTGGATATGTGTAAAATTATGTGTGTTGACATATCAACTGTCTTTACATGCTTGAAAGAATAAATCAAATCAAATCTTATATTCTAATACGGTGTGGGGGGTGCATATTCTTACACTACCAAAGTTAAAATTAATCTAAATAATGTAAACCAACTGCCACACACTGACCCAGGGGCCTTTAGGAACTTCAGGAGGAGGGTGGAGGAGTTGTTTACTTTGCTAGGTTCATAGTGAAGCTTTGCTTAAAAGGCTTTATATATTTATTTCATTCTATTGTGACCCTTATCACTCTGTCTCTTCTCTGACTCTATTCACTACAGTGGATGAGAGTGAGAAAGGACATAAAATCTCCCTGCTTCCTACAAAGTATACATTTTATAAGAGATCGGATGATCACTGAGACACATTTTGCATGTTGTGACCCAAGTTATATGACGCTTATCCATCATGTTGACAAAATTATTAATAGGACAAGTGGGACGAGCACTGTTAAGGCTATAGTGTTGTGTCAACCCCTCGACACTGATCATCTGCCTCACCTTGAAGACTTGTTTGCTTATTCTTAACTTCCCAAATACATCTCATGGTCTAATCTGATGTTATGGTTTAATTTTCATATAAATCTGAATTAAATTACTATCTTGACTTGATGTACAGTGTGTGTGCATGTGTGTCTGAATGTGTGCAACGCTATAGTCTATAGTGCCAGAAACCTAAAGGTCTACCTTTCATTGCTGTTTTCTACAGACTTCTCCAGGCTGGGACTTTCAAACATGTGCCTCTGTCGAGTTGACTCAGAGAATATACATGTAATGGAAACATCAATTTCATAGCACACCAACTAAAAGAAGCAACACTATGAGCACAGGGAAATTGAACACAGTCTCGCCGTAACCACTAAGCTACCAGGGGCTCCAAGTTATGTGTTTATTATGCACTGAAGGACAGTTAGACAGAAACATTTTTTTAAAAT